CTCCAAACTACTCAAAATTTCCGCTACCGGTTCTCCAGAACTTGTCAGAACTTGCTGAATACCACCTCTGGTCAATTTGTTTACAAATGTTGTTGCATGTGAGAAGCTGGTTACTGAGCTAAATTGGAGTGACTTCACCTTTTTTCAATCCTGAGGAAAGCGTATAACTCCTTTTTAGTATCACTATGAGCTCTGATAGACTAAGTTACTAGATTACAGGTAATCCTCCATTTACAACAGTTCATTTAGTGACTGTTCAAAGTTACAATGGCACTAAAGAAAGTGATTTATGACTATTTTTCACACTTATGACCTTGCAGCATCTCCATAGTCATGTGATTTACATTCAGATGCTTGACAACTGGCTCACATTTATGACAGCTGCAGTGTCCTGGGGGGGGGTCATGTGATTCCCCCTTTTTTTGAGACCTTCTGAGAAGAAAAGTCAATGGGGAAACCAGATTCACTTAACAACCGGGTTACTTATTTAAGAACTGCAGCGATTCCTTTAACAAATATGGTGAGAAAAGTTATAAAATGGGGCCAAAACTCACTTAACAATCTTCTCACTTAGCAACATAAATTTTGGTCTCATTTGTGGCTGTACGTTGAGGACTACTTGTACTTTAATGAAAATAGTTCTATCCTTGGTTTAAACCTGGGTGGCAATGATGCAGCCATTCGCTCTACTAAAAAAAAAAGTACTGACCCAGCTAAAAAATAAACTTACACAGGGAGTTGCTACAGGATCGTGACACCAGAAGCTTGTTTGTGCCAGTGGTGGTATTCAAATAAAGTTGCCACCGGTTTGGTGGGCATGGCTTGGTGGGCGCTCTTTGCACGCATGCACACACTTTGTGGTGCACGGGCACGCCAAACACGCACTTTGCGCAGGTGCAGAGGCATTCTAACTCGCCTCCTGCAAGCCTGCACGATGCCGGTCGCTGCAGCAGCTGCTGCGCTGCACTATTCTGCAACGCGCAAAGCAGCTGCACTTCGAATTCTGGCCATAAAAGTGAGTATGGGAGCCCGGGCGGGCGGGTAGGCCAAACACAGAGCAATAGAGAGAACCAGTTCTGTCTCCGCTGCTCATCGCTGCTACTGGCTCTCCAGAACCGGTCAGAACCGGTCAAATACCACCACTGGTTTGTACTGAATCCAACTTAGGTGAAAGAAGAGAAGGCACATATCTGAAGACATCGAAAGAATCAATAAAGCAGCTGAAGAAACCATGAACTACCTAGCTACTGCCAGAAGATCTCACAGACAGACTACAAGCAATAGCATAATAAAGTAACAACAAGGGTGCATTGGACCTTGGTGCAATCCCAAAACACTGGGAGTATCACTTGAACAGCATCCAACATTGACAAAATCCCCCAGCAGTCAACAGCAAAAGGCAGCATTACCAGGAGCAACGTATGACATATCACTGATATATCTTTAATACCATCAAATAACACCTGCCTATCTTAGGTCCCTTGGAAGGACTATATGTATGGATAAAATTCCAAATCCACTGAATATCTGGCTGATTGTGCAATGAACCATAATAGTAATCAGACCCAAGTGCCAACAAATGACTTCAAATTTAAATATTGATTGTGCTAACTCCACTATGTGTTCCTGTATTGTTACTAGTGAAACATATCTTTTATTTACTTTCCAAAATATATAAGCCTACTGTTACTATGGGAATACCAGATTTTATAGACTCTATAATCAGACCTTAAGCCATCAGCATTGTATCATCAGGACCTGTGGAAATTTATAATCACATTCCATCATAACTTCAACAATGTCCACCCATTATCAATCTCAACCTTACAGAGCAAGTCCACTTCTTTGATGTAAAACTGTAGACACATAAACATTGTGTTATATAGAACAGTGGTTGCCAACCAGTGGGCCAGGGACCACTGGGGGTCTGTGAGAAAATTTTGGTGGTCCGCAGAGAAATGTCACCTCCAAAGCACCCCCCAAAGCAATTAGTCCAGGCTGTGCGGGAACACAAGGCTGCACCACCCATATGGCCCGCAGGAACACAAGGTTTCTGTCACTTGCATTGTGAACAGCATGAGGTAGTGAGGGGAGAGGGGATAGGGCAGAGGGGGGGAACTTGCCCCACTCACCCCACGTGCCTTACCTGGCTACCGGGCTGCTTCTTTCCGCTTCTTTCTTCTGCTTTTGGCTGCACGCAAGGAAAGCAGCAAAAGTCTTTCTTTCTCTCCCCCAAACTCCGCCAGAAATGAGTCTTTGGGACCCTGCAAGGCCTCCTGCTCCAAGAGGTTGTGCCGGTGCGACAAGTCTCACAAAGACTAATTTCTGGCAGAGTCTGGGAGAGAAAGAAAGACTTCTGCTGCTTCTGCTGCTTTCCTTGCATGAAGCCAAAAATCATTCAGTCTCTCTCTCTCCCCCCCTTCCCCTGTCTCTCCTCCTGAGAATGGAGCTGGAGACAGTATCCTGTGATCCCAAATAAAGAATGATCGATCAGTAGGAAAACGGGACGGGGAATTTTTGATCCAATTGACAGAGAGGCTAAACTGATGAAATTAAACTATGCATTCAAGGGATTGAACTACTCACTCAAATCAGTAATGCCAAACTGATTCCCAGGAAGGACTGATAAAAAGACCAGAAAAGCAGAACAACAAAACACTTCTGCTTCACAACAAAAAGCAGTCAGATGAATTGTTAATAAACAGTAGCCCACATTGGACAATGATAATGCTCTTTCATAGGCACTGGGTGGCAAGCTCATACTTACAGATAACTACCTATCCTGAAGCAGATCCTCACAAGCAACAATGATAGGACAGTGATACTAACAAGAGGATCAGACTTTGCAACACATTCAGATGACTACAGTGCTGAATATAGCAATGTTACGGCCCCCAACAAATGTACACAGATTATTAAAGGCGCCTTCACATGTCCTTCCTCTAAGGGGAGATATGCCATCATCTGCCAGGAATGTACTTCTGATTTCTACCTAGGACAAATTGGACAAACTTTACACAGAAGAATTAATGGACATAAATTTAACACTAGGACGCAAAGCAAGGATAAAGTAATATCAGAACATTTCAACCTACCAGGACGCTCTGAGGCAAACCTCAAAGGGGCTATCTTGGGAAAACAAGACTTTAACAGTACTATTGAATGCAACATTGCTGAATTTACATTCATCAAAAGGTTTCGGGTCTCACCAAACACAATGAGATATTAACATGTTACAATTGTTAACTGATAAGATCCTTGAAATTTGTCTCACCTGTAAGATATATTTGCACCTTTCTTCTTTCCCCTTCCCCCGTGCCTCAACCCAATTTAAATCTTACATCAGTCTAGCTACACTATGTATGTCATGTAGTGTGTTGTTACTCATAAAAGCTTTTATCTTTTAATAGCAATATGCAATAGCACTTAGACTTCTATACTGCTTCACAGTGCTTTACAACCATCTCTAAGCAGTTTACAGAGTCCGCTTATTGCCCCCAACAATCTGGGTCCTCATTTTACCCATCTCGGAAGGATGGAAGGCTGAGTCAACCTTGAGCCTGGTGAGATTCAATCTGCCAAATTGCAAGCAGACAGCTGTCAGCAGAAGTAGCCTGCAGTATTGCACTCTAACCACTGCACTACTGAGGCTCCAACATAATAAAATACGTTAGCTTGAAAAGATGCTACCAGTCTCCTCCTAATTTTTCCGCTACTATAGCAAACACAGCTGTCCTTTACTTTTCTACTACTAATTTATCTTTGAACAGAGTCCATATTTTAGTTCACTACTGTCTGACTGTTTAATGGTGAGACCACTTTTAAATATACAGGAAAGCTTAAATCAACATATACAACCCTAGACAGTCAGTGTTTATTCATCATATGAGGGGGAGCTGATAGGGTGACCCCTAGATTGGTTGAAAATTAATTATGAATTGTATACTTTTTAAAAAACCTTCCATGTCCTTTCTTTCTCTTTTAAAAGATCTTGTATGATCCAGCCAATGATTACGGGTGCACTGATGCAACGACATAATTTCTGGATCTCATTGAGTAGTTCTGCTTACCTTTTAAATGCAAGAATATAGATTGTCCAGTTCTCCCTCTTGATCCTGAACATTTACCCCCCCAACACACTAATTGCATTGTTTTTGATAGTTCATCCAGATTTTTCAAAATTATAACAAAAGATTGCATTTGTTAATGCACACTTCATAACTCTGCACAGACATCTTGTTAAGTATAAACACTTGATAAGCCAACTAACAAAAAATGGTCTTTCTGTAAATCATACTGACGTACAATTGATCTCACTCAAATAAAAAGTAAGTAAAAAAAATCCCTGAATCACTCATATAATAAACTGGAATGTGCTTTTAATTTTGTAAAGTTCCATTTTTACTTTTTGTTGCATAAACACAGCATTATATTGTATTCAACGTCAGACTTGTTGGTAATTAGAGAAATTGCTTTTCATTTTAACATCCAAAGACAAAACCTTGGGATCCCACCCACCAAACTATCACTTTGCATGGAACAAAATTTTGTCATGTTCCAAATAAGTTTATGTGGAGGTCTGAAACAGACAATGTAAAAGAAGCTGTCTGCCCAAGTGGTCAAAAATTGGGGATCTAAGAACAAGCTAACATCTTGAAAACATGGGATTCAGGGAACTTCCTTTCCACAGTTTGATGATCTCCAGATTTATTGGCTTACATGCAGGGGTGGGATTCAAATTTTTTAACAACCAGTTCTGTTGGCGTGGCTTAGTTGGTGGGCATGGCTTGGTGGTCATGTGACTGGCTGGGTGTGGTCAAGTCAACATCACTCACATTGAGGCACGCATCTCCTCGCCTGGCCTCTCATGACTGTGGGGATGCTGCAACAGTCGTAAGTGTGAAAAATGGTCATAAGTCACTTTTTTCAGTGCCATTGTAACTTTGAATGGTCACTCCACACAAGCAAAGTACCAGCAAAGGAGGGGAAAAAACCTCCAGAGAAGTTCCAGAGACAGGAAGTCTAGTCCTGGCAAGAATATAATAAGGGTTAATGGAGAGGCAGTTTCTGTAAGCAAACCAGAATGTTTCCTTCCTGCCTTCCCGACAGGATTACGCCAGTAATTTCTCTAACAACTGGTTCTCCAAACTGTTTAGAATGTTAACAACCAATTCTAGCGAATAGGTGCGAACTGGTAGAATCCCACCCCTGCTTACATGTTAGTGAGGGCTGATGAAAATGGAACCAAGCAACATTTGGACAGACAGAAGCTCTGTTCAAGAGAATTGTGGATATTTTAGCCTGGGAAGTTGGCTTGCTTCCCTGTCATGCTGTCATTGCAGGCAACAGACTTGTTTTTGTGATGTTTAATACCTTCAATGCAGTTAGTTTGTATGGCTGTCAAGATATTTATACAACCGTCTCTACTCAGTCTTCAGAAATCATCTTCAGGGTTGCCTTGTCTTTGAAATGTAGCATTGCAGTTGGGGATGGCTAAGAACAACGTGCATCTTCACCTCCGAGTAAGGCCCTCTCAGGGGCTGTAGGCAGGGGTGGGCTGCTGGGGGTTCGCAGGGGTTCGGGAGATCCTCTAGCTAAGATTCTGCAGTTTGGAGAACCTCCAAATCCCACTCCTGGCTGGCCCCTCCCTCTCCCTCTCCCCTCCCCGGAGTCCCCACGTGGCCCGTTTTGGATGCAGGCACAAGTGCAAGGCGTGTGTGGAGGCTCAGGGAGGGTGAAAAACGGGCCTTCTGGAAGTTCAGGAAGGCCAGAAACGGCCCCATTTCTGGCTTCTAAAGAGCCTGGGAAGGCCGTTTTCGTTCTCCTGGAGGCTTGAGGAAATCGTCCGGAGCCTGGGGAGGGCAAAAACTCCCTCCCCCTGCCGTAGTGCAGGAGGCCAACTAGGCCACGCCTACCCTGGCCATGCCCACCCAGCAACTGGGCAGAGAACCCGTTGCTAAAATTTTTGAAGCCCGCCCCTGGCTGTAAGGGGCTACACACCCAGAGCTTTTTGGACGTTCATTTGGAACCTGCTGAATAAAGAATTGGGAGAAGATAACGCTAATGCGGCATATTTATTCTGGAAAGGAGTCTGGTAAGTTATAATAATAGTGGCCTTTAAAGAAGTCCAATAAAAGGTGAATTCTGAAGGCTGAAAATATCGTGTGGCTTCATTGTACTTATCCCCACCTCCCACCCCGGCTCTTCAGTTCCTTATACCCAACTTGTTGGCAGTTGTTGATAATAAGATGAAGAAAGCGCCTGGTGCTATGAGATGAGGATTGCATGCTAACCCCAGGCCCGCTCTGACCACCTTTGATTTGCCTGGACACAAGAGAGTCGGTCTTTGCTCTCTTTTCCTCTCCTGCATTTCTTCCTTTTTGTCAAGAAAGGCGTTTGAACGTTGGCAGTTTGGCAATGCGCTGTGTAAATTGCAGATATTGCGTGTGGTTTTTGAGGCATTCCGCAACTTAAAGTCATGAGTTAAATATGCATATATAAAAATTAAAACATGGGTTATTATTTATTTCGCTACATCCCAGTGGATGAAAGACTCATTTCAACTCACGAATGTCCTCTTTTTGCTAGAGATAGGAACACAAGGGATACATCTGGGTGCTGAGTTCAAGCAAAGTGCAGCCTTGTTATTATTTTTATTCTCAATCTGTCTCTCTCTCTCCCTCCCAGCCCCCTTGCTTTGGAGTGTCAGTGTTCTCTATCATGTAACTATGATATATGATAAAGTGGAGGGCGAGGGGGATCGCAGCCAAACTCTGCTGTGTTCAAAGCAAGGTGCTAGTGAGAGGAAGGGATGGAAAGTAAGCACTAATGGATTAATGGCCCATGATACATGCTTTAGCTAGTGAGTGATTCGATAATTCTTGCTTCCAAAAGTAGGATTTAAATATTCCTGTCTGGCACGCTACCAAAGTAAATAAATCACTTAACTATCTAGTTTATATGAACATGCATACTCATACACACACATACACATACTTGGAATAGGGGAAAAATAATACCGTATTTTCTTTTATACAGTAGGTGCTAGAAATGTTGACAGCCACTGCATCACTACAAGTTACTGTTTGGAACTGCTGTGTCATATTATAGAGATAGACAGAGCAGACGTAAATACACACACACACAGATACACACAGAGCAGAGTGTGTGTGTCTCTCTGTGTGTGTCTCTCTGTGTGTGCGTGCGCGCGCCTTTGAATGAACTGGTTATATGAATTTTGCACATCCAGACTGTTTGTTCAAATGATCTCCTTTTCCTGCCTGTTATAATAAGAACTGTTAAGTCGTGGGAAAGATCGACTCGAGACCAGTGTGACTTCAGCTCTTTTTATTAGTCTTTCAGAAACTGAACTACCGCGGAGCCGTGGCAGCCTCTTTTATAGTGGCTGCTCGCGGCTCGCGGCCAATGACGGCTCCTTGAATTTCCCGCCGTCAGATGGACCAATCAAAAGGCAGTATTTCAAGTATTCAAATATATAACAAGAACAATTAAGAAAGTTTTTTCCTTCTTGCTCATCAGAGGGCTGCAGAAAGCCACGAAGTGGGCCTGACTGTATCCCTCAGCATTCTCCCATGGCTGGTCCTTAGGAAGATTGCAAAACTTATTGTTGTTTGGCTCAGAACACCCCATTCCCATATACCTCTTCTGATGGATTTTATTTATTTATTTATTATTTATTTTATTGATTGATTACGTTTTTATGCTGCTCATCTCCCCTCAAAGGTGACTCTGGATGGATAGCAAACAAAGAAACAAGCAAACAAACAAACAAGCAAACAAATAAATAAATAAATTCTGGTTTCTGCAAATGCAGGGCTGGATCAATGCCACGATGCCCCTGGGGCTAGCAGAGCAGCTCCAAATGCCTATCTGGAATTTGAAGCTCTATATCAGGGGTGTCAAACTCAAGACCCATGGGCCAGATCCGGCCTGCAGGGTGCTTAGATCTGGCTGGCGGGGACACCTTGGAAACAGTGAAGGACCGGCCCATGGTGCCTCTGACAGCAAAAATGGAGCACGGGACGCTGCGACGGCCTTCTGCAATCCTCTGCCAGCGAAAACAGCGCTCGGGAGGGCCCACCTGAGCTCCATTTTTGCTGGCAGAGTGCTTGGATCGCCACAGGTGCCCCCGACATGAGTGACATCGAGCTGGCCATGCCCACCTGGCTCCCAAGGTCAAACATAACCCTGATGCGGCCCTCAATGAAATCGAGTTTGACACCCCTGCTCTCTATGCCTGGACTCTCCCAGTTGGATTTAAGATTCAAAAACCTGGAAGAGATGTATCTTGATTTGCATCCATCCCATCCAAATAGCTTCTTCTTTATAGTGTTCTCTTAAAAGTAAGCCACATTGAGATGAATGTGATTTATTATTCTGAGAGAAAGAAAGTAAGTAAGAAAGAAAAACATTCCATAAGTGTCATACAGGATTGCTCTTTTTCTCTCAGAAATGAAGGCATAACAAAATAGGGCTACTTTAAAGGCTGCTCTGTCAGAAGTTAAACTATCAGAATGATTTCTTAAAAGGTTTACAAATGCCATAAAAACACATTTTTAATGAAATAAAATTATACAAAGCACATTCCTGTCATTCTCACAGACTGTGGTCTGCAGCTGTATAATGCTACCCCCTAAAGTTAGATTAACATTCTGAATTTCTTAATGGTTTCTGTGGGTAGGAGCCACAATAAAGCTTGAATTCAAAGAGATTCAGGAAGCTCCTTTGATAGATTTATCTCTGTTGTGATTTCATTGGCTTCTCTCTGGAAGATGGAAGAAGGTTCTTTCTCACAATGGCTAGACACAGTAGGCCAGTTTTTCTCAAGGCTCGACCTTTGCTCTTTCTAATTTGAAATTTTGGCGTATGAATTAATTAACAGGACTCAAGATATTGTATACCCTTTATGACTGTTTACCACCTCCCCCATGTTGGTTAGAGTAAGCATTTATTAAACTATTTATTTCATTGGATCTGGAGGCTGCTTGATTCCCTTGATGTCTCTAGTTGGGTTACTTCTCAAAAGAGGAATCAATAATATACAGAAAAGAAGTGTACACATCTGGGAAAAACACAACATTAAAAAAAAAAAGCACAAACCAAAAGATTCAACAACAACAACAAAAAATCTGCCAAGGGCTCGGCAACCACGTGAACCTTATGGCTGGGAACAAAGCCAGGTTTTCAAAGACTCAGAACAACTGGAGAATGGGAGCTGTATAGATCTCAGTTGAGATGCTGTTCCAGGAGTCAAAGGAGGCACAGTTCCTGAGCCTCGATAAATGACATCATCTAATTGAGGGGAACTGCCACATACCCACTTTGCCCACTCTTAGTGGGTGGGCAAATACTCTTGGAGATAGGTGGTCTTTCAGATAATTTTACCCTAGGCCAAAAATATAATTGATTTATAATATTTTAAGTTCAGAAGCACTCAAAGCGTCTTAAGCAGATAACTAAGCGTAAAATAATTGGCACCCCCATATAAAACTGCAATAAAAATAATACAATACGTAAGCAGTTGTTGTTTTCAGACAAACATGTTTCAGTGTAAAACTATGGACAGTGAAACTAAAAAATAATGAGGTCTTGTGTCTGGTAGCTGGGAGGTTAGCATCTGGAGCAATGGTCATTCTCTTCTCTTAGTGGCAATCCACTCTGTATTTGCTCCTCTTTCCTCCAGCTTAGTTGTGGCAGTTCTCTCTGTCAAAAGAGTCCATATGAGTCCCTTCTGGTAGTTGGGCTTTATGCTCTTCAGAGCCAGTGACTAGAGGGTAGGATACAACTGCACTTTTGCACAAATTGACAGAACTGGTCCAGGAGGCAGAACAGAGAAGCTTAAAGAGGGGACCATTACAAGTCCTCTTTATAGATTTATGCAAATTATTCTGGCCTTTAGTAAATTTCAACCCAAATTAAAGGGTATCTGTGGTTGGGCATGGCAATCAATTAAGTGATAAAATTATGCTTAATTCATATCATACTGTGAAGGTATAATAAGAGCTGGGGAAAATGAAAGAACATGTCCCCTATGCAATGTGGATGGATATGTGGATCCTTCACATTAAACAAAGGGGTCTAAAGTTTGGTGTTTATAGTTATTATTTTAGTCTAACCACTATCTAATAACCTTGAGTTCCCAGGGTCTATGGAGATTCTCCATCATCCAGGTCATGGTTGTGCCAAAGGTGCTTTTTCAAGAGGCAACTAGACTTTCTGATTTTCTTCAAAGATGTATTGCTTCTCATCCAAGAAGCTTCTTCAGCTCTGACCGGATGGTGGGGAATGGAAGGATATATACTCCTTGCAGACAGCAGGTCATTTGCATTCTTTTAGAGAATCGTTGTGGCCACTTAGAGATTCATCTATGTCATCAAGGTCATCTGAGTAGTGCAAATGGGTGTGGAGCCTTCTTGAAACTGTTGAAAGGACTGTGTTGTAGACTGGAGAATGATGACGTCATATCCCTCCCCCTTTGTTGAGAGAGAGCCATTCAATTTTGACATAGATGGCCTCGTTGACCCCTCTTTTAAACCAGTAGTTCTCTCTGTCCAAAATGTGGACCTTGCTGTCTTCAAAAGAGTGGCTTTCGTCTTCTAAATGCAGATGGACTGCTGAATCTTGCCCTGATGGGTTTGTTCTCCTATGTTGTGCCACTTCATAAACGCATGGCACAACATAGGAAAACAAATTTTGTGTGAGTAAGTAGGACAGCACACAATGGCACCCATTAATTTTTCCTTTCTTGTCAAAATATCTTTTTTTTTTAAAGGAACTTTAGGCGCCTAATGGCTGCTCCAAATTATGTTCCCTCAGATACCACAGTTTTATGGATGCAGCAGACTTTTACACTAGCAGCATGCCCTTGCCCTTTAAGGCAGGGGTCCCCAACCACCGGTCCGCGGACCGGTACCAGTCCGTGGAACAAATCCTACCGGGCCGCTGGTTTGCTGGGCTCCGCCATCTTGTTTTGATGAAAAAGTGCTTCCGGTGAGCTTTTCCGGGTAGAAAGCTCACCAGAAGCACTTTTTCATCAAAACAAGATGGCGGCGCCCAGTGCTTCTGGTGAGCTTTTCCGGGTAGAAAGCCATTTCTACCCGGAAAAGCTCACTGGAAGCGCTGGGTGCCGCCATCTTGTTTTGATGAAAAAGTGCTTCTGGTGAGCTCACCGGAAGCACTTTTTCATCAAAACAAGATGGCGGCGCCCAGCTGATGCCGGTACCGGGCCGCGGTGCCCAGCTGATGCCGGTACCAGGCCGCGGCATAAAAAAGGTTGGGGACCACTGCTTTAAGGTATCACTCATCACTTCTTTGACAGGTTTGCTGGGAGGGGAGAAAACTTTAGCCCTCCCACTCACATGCTTACAAATCACTGATCTCCTCTGATGACAAACTGGCATTTTCAGATAATTAACTGAGAGAAAGTCAGGGGTCTTATTCTTCTCCCTTCCAGCATTTTTATTATGTGCCTCTGTTTTCCTGGTGATTAGTTATCAGACTGAACTGCTAGCAGCAGGGAAAACAGAAGGAGTTCCTGCAGCTCTGTGGTCTCCTCTCTTTGGTAATTAGATACCATGGATCCCCCACTGAGTTCAATTGTCAACCACTGGTCACAATTTTGTCATTGGCCTGTAAATATAGCTGACTGACATGTTTGCATTTACCCAGGAACAAAATTTGCTTGTCTGACCATGTTTTCATGTAGACATTTGCTAATGAGATACACCTATGAGCTAGTCACATCACAATCATTGCAGCCAGCCTCTCCCACTGAGAGGATGGAGACCAGAAGTCTCAAATGCACGATTCTGACCTCTTGGAGTTAACATGGGATAATGGGATATTTATTTATGTAGGTTTTTCATCCGGACTTTATTTCAATGTTTATAATTCACTCAAGGCAACAAACATACCTTATATTTTCCCCTCCTCCTGTTTTCCCCACAACAACAACCCTGTGAGGTAAGTTGGGCTGAGAGAGAGTTACTGGCCCAAGGTCATCCAGCTGACTTTCTTGCCTTAGGCAGGACTGGAACGCACAGTCTCCTGGTTTCGAGCCTGGTGCCTTAATCAAACTGGCTCTATAAAACTATTATTATAGAGGTAAACTATTATGGTAGAACTATTAAAGTCAAGATCTTGTGGGGACTTCAGAATTCAGGCTGACAGGCACTTGGCCCACAACACACCTGACATAACAATAGTTGAAAAGAAAAAGGCTTGGTTCATTGACATTGCTATACCTGGTGATGCACGAATTGAAGACACGCAGCAAGAAAAATATCACACAGTATCGGGACTTACAAATTGAAGTTGAGCCACTTTGGAAGAAGAAATCGTGTGTTATCCCAATTGTAATTGGAGCCCTTGGAGCAATACCTAAAGGGCTACCTTGCTATTTGGAAATTCTGAATTTATCAGACTTGAATACCCTGATTCTACAAAAAGCCACCCTACTTGGAATAGCTTATATCCTCTGCCGCTACCTGAACAGTTCCTAGGTCCTTGGTTAGGACTCGAGCTGTTGAGCTACCAACCAGCCCCAAAGGCTGTGAATCTTACTAAAGCTAAAATAATAATAATAATAATAATAATAATAATAATAATAATAATAATAATAATAATAATAATAATGGGTTATAGATTGATTTTCCTTTGCTACCAGTTGAAACCCACCAGCATGTAATCAGACTTTTAAAAAATCTTAGTCCTGATGCCTTCTTTGCGATGCCTCCACAGAATCTACTCCAGAGGCTCCCAGGGAAATGTAAGAAACACAAGCTGAGTATGGTTCAAGAGGAGCTATGGGGTAGGGAGAGGCTTTCCATCAGTGGGAAATGCTTCAATTAGGGAAACACATAGTTGGATTTCAGCCAGCGCCTTCTGCAGCAGATTACTAAGTGGATGCTTACAGTTTCCACTCTTTTCTCCTGCAGGAAGATGCCAAGTATCTCACAATAGTGCTTCCAGGTGCTGTATTGTTAATATCTCCAGATATTAACAGAGCGCCCCCTCCCCTCTGGATTGCTCTTCCAGCTGTGCAACCTGGTGGGTTTTGGCCACAAGCCAGAGTTTCACCCCAAGTAATTAAACTCTTCTTATTGCTTGACACAAAAGCAGAGGCAAAGTATGAAAAACATCAGCCTTCTTTTTAATGTCAGACCAGAAAAGGTCAGAGCAGATGTTTTTAAGTAAACATGGGCCCTTTTTGTCCATTTTTGAGAAGCTAAGAGTAGCTTTAAAAAAAAAATCAGAAGCCAGGGAAGACTGTAGATTTAAAGGTGCTTTAAACACTATACTTTCCCATACAGCCATGAATTCCTGGCAAAATGGCTGGGAGACAATCACAGAGGAATGAACCTGAATACACTATGGCTCAATTTCCCAATAAAAATGTCAAAGTAAAATCAGAAATGGGTAGAATTAAAGTCTTGTATGGAACACTTTTTTTAAAAAAATGCCCATGAAGAATTTAATAATGGTATATATTTCACAAACTCAATCCATATAATTCTATTGTACTATCATCAGTATGTCATACAAGGTACTGTAATATTACAGTTGTGGAAATGATGCATTTGACTGCTTTTTTCTCTGGCTCTTTCATTTCCGAGTTGTTGTACTTAAGTGATATTACTATGGACTGTGCTCCTTCCATTGGAATGAAAAGCACCAAAAATGACTCAGAGATTAGAAACAATTTTTTAAAAGGTTCACAATCTAAACTTACAGCAATATTATAATAATTTGTCATTAACGAACAATAAACTATTATCATTCTTAAACTTGTTTTGGCATTTCACAACTTGCAGGGCTAATATCTACCCCCAACCAACTTTTTTTTGAAGAATAAACATTTACAATGAATTGTTTTATTTGTAAACTGTCCATTTACTTTAAAATGGTCATATGCTTATTTCTTATTTCTTTCAATTTTGTTCATATTCTGCTTTAGCCTGATATTTTAAGTACATTTGACTATTGGAATTTAAATTTGGCACTCTTGGATTCAGCACAATGTTTTTTAATCCAGCTTTCTTTTCCAAGGCTAGCCAACCAAATGCCTCAATAGGAAGGATTAAAGAGCAATGGGCAATGAGAAGCTTGCTATTTTTAAAAAAATAATGGAGTTAATAGATTGAGCAAATAGATAGACAGATGATGCTGTTAATATGGCTGTGCACTACATCCTACAACACTTTGAATCACCAAATACCTATGGAAGGGTCCTCTTTGTAGACTTCAGTTCAGCATTCAATACCATCATTCCAGACATTCTTCTTCTTCTAACTAAACTAACCAGCTAGCAGTACCTGAACACACTTGTAAGTGGATCATATGCTTCCTAACAGACAGGAAGCAGCAGGTGAAGCTAGGCAGAATCACATCTGATACCTGGACAATTAGCACCCCCCCCCCCCCCCCAGGCTGTGTGCTTTCTCCACTTCTCTTCTTCTTATATGCCAATGACTGCATCTCAAAAGATCCATCTGTTAAAATACTGAAGTTTGCAGATGATATAACAGTGATTGGTCTCATTCGAGACAAATCCACATACAGACAGGAGGTTGTAAAACTTGCCTCATGGTGTAACTGGAACAATCTGGAACTGAACATACTCAAAACCATAGAAATGGTGGTAGACTTTAGGAGAAACCCTCCCATACTAGACAACACAATATCAACAGTAGAGACCTTCAAATTTCTAGGTTCTATCATATCACAAGACCTAAAATGGACACCTAACATCAAAAACATCATCAAAAAAGCACAACAAAGAATGTTCTTTCTACGCCAACTCAGAAAGCTCAAACTGTCCAATGAACTGCTGATACAGTTCTACAGAGGAATTATTGAATTATTATCTGTCATCTACACCTCTATAACTGTCTGGTTTGGTTCTACAACCCAACAGGACAGACACAGTTTTCAGAGAGTAATTAGGACTGCAGAAAAAGCAATTACTACCAACCTGCCTTCAATCGAGAACCTGTATACTGCACGAGTCAAAAAGAGGGCTGTGAAAATATTTGCAGACCCCTCACATCCTGGACATAATTTCAACTCCTTCCCTCAAAACGATGCCCACTGCACACCAGAACAACTAGACACAAGGACAGTTTTTCCCCAAACGCCATCACTCTGCTAAACAAATAATTCCCTTAACACTGTCCAACTATTTACAAAGTCTGCATTACTATTACTATTAATCTTCTCATCACTCCTGATCACCCATCCCCTCCCACTTGTGACTGTATGACTGTAACTTTGTCTGTATACTCCTCTAGATCCAGATTGCAAAACAACAATATTTAATGCAGCTGAATCTTACCCCAAATTTGTCTCTGCAGAATGCAGGACCAAATTGTGTCACTTCTCAGGAAGGAGCTACTTCCTACAGTTACTCTCAGAAGCCGGAAAAAAAATTGAAGTGAACTTATTTGGCAGTAGAATAGCCACTAAGAACGGATGGGAAATTCAACAGAAGCTTGGAGACTGTGTTTCAAAGGAAAACCCCAGAACTGGGGGGAGGGGGGGGGAGAGGAGGAAGAGGAGGAGGAGGAGGGTGCTTTAGTAAAATTACTATCAGTATTTCTCTGGACAGTTTCACATATCGATGATGACACAAACTTCTGGTTAATGGAACAATCAGGAGGGAAAACTCACATTTGGGTAGCTAGTTTGCCAGAAACCTGAGTTGAATTTCACTCCTGATCACCATGGATTCTGAGTCAAGTTACTGAACTACGTTTTTCTGTGCCACATCCAAAGTCAGTGAATGATTAAGAAGTGAAAATGTAAGAGTCAGGATTATTTTACTTCATTCCATGTTATTGTTTCTGCTCTTTTGCACTAGATATTTTAAGCAATCTATACCTACATGATGAGTGCAAAGGGCTTTTCCAAATAGATGGTTTACAGCAGTGTTTCTCAGTGCTGGCTGAGAAATTCTGAAAGGTGAAGCCCACACAGGTGAAAGTTGCCCAGATTGAGAAACACTGGCTTATAATGTTATCAGTTATTTTCAATTATTCCTGTTTTCTTCATAGTATTTCCATGTTCTAATCCACGGGTGTCAAACTTGATCACATCACGTGACGTATCCTAACGTATCGTGACTTTTTTTGCCTTTGCGGAGCCAGGATGGGCGTGGCCTGGATGTGTGACGCATATAGCTCACAGGCTGCCAGTTTGACACCCCCCCCCCCCGCACTATTCCATTCAGACCATTATGAAGCCAGCTCTGTAATACCAATTCAGTCAGTGGTTACTTCAACTAACCATAGGAGAGTGGAAAAAAAATCCATCTCAATTTATAGCAGATCCTGGAGCCACAGAAATCCCAAGTCCAAGTCCTCTGGTACGGATTCTGGAATGGTGCAAATGTTTTATACAACTTCTTTCTAAATTTTCTAAGTTGCATAAATTTCAAGTAAATTTTGAGCTTCTGCAATGCCCATGCTTGGAACGGGCAGAAGAAGCATGATTTACATCTTAAATGGACAAAAAAAAAAAAAAAAGCATTCTGAACACTTTCATGCAAGTAGGAGCACAAATTATTTTATAAAAATAGTCTTTTTATATAGCTTAATGTTTCAAAGCTGAGTATCTAGATTCAGAATTAATAAATTCTAGCCAAGTTTACCTTTCTTTGTCAAAAACAAAAACAAAAAACCCTGCAATTATAATGTTCCTGAACAGAGACAGAAAAAAGGGTTAATGAGGAGATGGAGAGAGAGTGATAATTCAGTTTATATTCATATTACGCCTTTTTCTAAGGATTTAACAGCTATTTCACGGTGGCTGGGGAATTTCTGCTGTCCTCAAAGGAATGCAAATTTCAGAACAGCGAGCAAGATCCTTAGTCTCTGATTTATGGAGAAGAAAGGTTTAGAAGAGCAATATCTCAAGATTTTATAAAATAGAGCAAGTTAGGTAGAACATTATGGGGATTATGGGAGGCACACAGACCAAAAAGATTCTTTGTTCTTTTACAAAAGAATGAAGAATGGTCAAAGGAAGAATGCACAGTACAGTTTCTC